CGAATCAGGCAAGAGACACCCCCCCCCCCCCCCCCCAGGTCAAGCCCCTTCTTTGGAGCCTCAGATCAGCACTAGCTGTACTTTGTCCATGAGAATACATCTCAAATGCTGTTCTCAGCCTTGGTTCCCAGGAAGAACCATGGTAGGATAGGGGCCTTGTACCCCCCAGGGCTTGGAGCTCTGGAATTTGTTTTGTCTTTCTGATTAGGGAAAGGCCATGGAAAGGTACTGGCAAAACTAGTCACTAATACAATAGACTACAGAGCTACAAATGGACTATGTTGCCCTAGATATGCCAGACTGAGTCCCAGAAAGTGGTGGCTGTTTGTCTGGCTTCATATAAATTACCAAAGAGCAGATCTAGGTCTTGAGAAGAAAGAGTGGGGGTACCTCAAGAGCTAAGCAGTTCCTAGTTCCTTACCTGCCTCCTTTCACTGACTGGTGCCAATGAGAAATGTTCTGACTCAGGCACTGCCTTGTATCAACAACAGCACCACAAAGAACAGTCAAAGGACTAAGGCATGAACAGTGCATGGGTGACTGCCAGGCTGAGTGACATAGGTCCTTCTGATAATGACAAAAAGGCTTCTGGCACAGGTGTTTTCTGTAGGAGTAACCCTTTCCATACTCAGTGTTGATGGTTTGGGCTATCCTGAAAACAGCAGAAACCATTTCAAACCTATGAAAAACTGATTTAAAGGTAGGTCAGATCTGCCAAAGTTCATTCATTCGGGCTTGAGCTTCATATGGACAATGCTTCATATGCACTAGCACCTCCCTTTGTCTTGAATTAGGAACTGTTTAACAAGTCTAATATGAAAATTTGTGTAAAAAATGTACTGAAAAAAGAGGCAAATGAAAAAGATACACTTGCCAAGGAATTTCAATGCAAGCATCTAGGGTTTTTCTGGGGTTTTTTCGGTATTTTTTTAAAGATGGCCAAAAAAAAAAGCTACTTATCATGTTCTAAATATTATGACAAGCCTGTATTTTTTTTTTTCGGTATTTTTTTAAAGATGGCAAAAAAAAAAAAAAGCTACTTATCATGTTCTAAATATTATGACAAGCCTGTATTTTCTTGTGAAGACTCTTCTAATTTTGCTGACTAAGGGAGTGGCAGTGGAAGTCTTCTGTAAAGAAACAGCCAGCCTCAGAAATATGGAGTTGATTTTAGAAAACTACCAGTTTCATTCATATGTAGTAAAATTGATAGAAGTGTCAAAACATTTAGCAGATTCAGAGCATGTTGTTTGCTTGCACATTTACTGAGCTTAGTTGCTAATGTATATACAAAAACATTTGTACTCATTATATGACAAGTGACTTAGGTTAAACAGTTAACCTTAGTGACATTCACTAGTTTATTGATGTTTCAAAGCAATGCATTGAGGAAAAGGATAATTTATTTTAACTTTCAGTAATTTAATATAGTAGCTTTGCTATACAAAATTTTCAAGCATTAGTCTATAGTGTATTTTTGAAATGACGTATCATTGCAAGTTATTGTACAAAGTAGCACACAGATCGTTCCTTACAGCAGCATCGCTTCAGATGACATACAGAATCAAAGATAAAAAACCCCACTGTGCATGTTTCATAACATAAATTAAGCTAATTACTCAGACTTGTCATTTTCTACAAAGCAAATCACCCACTTGAATGAACAGTGAGTAATTTAACTGGAAATTGATACTGAACACGTGTTACTGGAAGATTAATGTACAGAAATCTCACATACTTATCAGTAGTGGACAATACTATTGAGATAACCTTTCTAAGAAGTGGGTTTTTGATGCACATTCTTCATGAAACATCCAAAAATAATCTATAATTCAGTCTTTTTATTCATTAAAATTAAAGAGGGCTAGATCATCTCTGAAGAAAGTACTAAAGAGAGGGATCATTACATGTGCCAAATGAGCATGTAATAAACTCTTATATTGTGTATATATATATTGTTTTGTGCTAGCAACTGTTGATCCAGAAACATCAACAAATATGGGCTACTGCAAGTAACTTTTTCCTCTATACGCTGAAAATAAAGCTTACAAAGAAAAATATTTTTTGCTAACTACTGTGCTGAGAGTTACCTACTGATAAAATCTGGGGCACAGAGTGATGCATCAGTATAATACAGAACTGGAAAGATGAATATTTTGTTAAAAATTACCTAATGCAAAGCAATCAGAAAGCAGAAGTAGCATTTAGAAGCAGTCACCATTTTTCACAAAAACTGAATTGAGGAGCTGAAGAGTGCTGTGCTGATACATGTCAAACTGACTGATTTTGGCTCAGCAAAGGTGCACACTTCAGTCTATTTTTCTTAGTCATCCCTAACTATGAAGCAGAAGCCTTAGGATTGCCAAATCCTGTGTACTGTGCACAGGAGTAGCAATTACATATACAGATTCACACTTGATACAACTATTCCATCAGTATTTATTGTCTAGGTGCATTCTGTTATCCTGAATATAAACTGATAACCTCAGAAATGTTACAGATCTAATTTTCTTAATATGCTATGTATTCTTGACAGAGTAGTTTTGGTTTCATTAATATACAGAAAAACTTACTTAAGAATGGACACATTAAGAACCTTTTTCTGCTAACCATTTCTCCAAACAAGATGAAAAAAATGTTGCAATTAACTAAAATGTTCTACCACAATTCAGTATAGATATCCACCAACTACTTTTGTAATGGTGTGTGATTTTTGGTTATGTGTTGTCTTTTTTTACAGGATGAGAATATAATGCGATCCATGCAGCTCTTTGAAAATGTGATTTAATGAAGACATTAGGCCTACAACTAATGGACAAATATGAGCTATTCTGCAACATTATCTAAAAAAATGGATTTCCCACTTTATCATAAATAAAGTTACTCAGCTTTACACTGAGACATGTATTATGCAAGTAATTTTTTTATTATACACCTTTCCCAACAAAAACCTCTTTCTAAATTCTACAGTCTAGCACTTCCACTGTGGCTATTTAGTTAACAGGACTGTACTGAAAAATCAGGTTCTTACTACAAACTCCAACAAAATACAACTGACATTATGCACGTTTATTATTATTCCAACCCCTAGTTAAAATAGATACAGTCACACAGAGATTAAATAAATATTCTTAGTTTTGCTACTCATTTTTACTGGACTAAGCTCCAGGTGTTAAAGCGTACTTCTTAAATCTCTATCTTCTAATTTATACAAAGGCATTACAATTTATTTTCTTCTCATATTTCTATAGTGTAGTCCTCATTTTTTAATATTTTGAGTTAAAATGCTATAATAAATGTGCGATGCACATCTTGCTATAATTGCCTTCCAACTTTGACTTGGATTTCTCTTCATAAAAAAACCCCAAAACCCAAACATAACTAAACAGGTAACTTGAGAGTAAGAACTGTTATAAAACAAAACAAAACAAAAAACAAGTTACTTATGGGTTATTCTTATTCCCTAAAAAATATGACTAAGCTTCTCTCAATCTCACCTAATAAGTCTGCACTTAATTTATCATGACATGAATACCGGAAGTCCTACATACCGTATTTTTAATTCTTCTTGGATGTGTATGCAAAGTCATTTGCTAAAAATTAAGGATCTTCTGACTTCCAATTTTTCATGAAGAAACCTTAACTGGATCCTAACACTGCTTTCCTAAGTATGAGTCTTTCTGCCTTTAATGAAGAAAAAGGCATGAACTTTTGAAAACTGCCATGCCACTTTAGTGCTGAGAATGAACATCACTACATAGTAACCTCTGCTAATAATGACTGCTAGAGGCTAACATCTATTTCATCTTTTTGTAATACCATTAACTATGGGACAGAACCAGGAAAACAATGAAAACTTCAGCTATATATCATCTATATGTGATAAATGCTTTACATTTTTTAAGATCATTTCTTCATTAAGATTGGAACTACTTAATTCTGAACCTAGAAAGATTCTTCTAAGAAAGTATGCATATAAAATATAACACTGACCCTCCATTTGTATAATTTTTAAGATATATTGTCCACAGAGTCTACGCCAATACTTCAAAATAGGTGAAATGCTATCAGAGATAGGTCAACCTCCATTGTGACATTGCTGCAGAAAGTGTGAAAGGGGATTAATGAAGTAGAAAGAAAGTTACAAGAATTATTTTGTAAAAATAAATCAGGTATCTATTCTGGTGTAGAGATGGGATGTTAGAGGCATGTTGAAGGCTGCTCTGCTATCACCAGTGTAGGATAAGAGTAGTACAATACATGTACACCTGAAATCTGCTGTAGCGTGTTTGTGTAAACTAAATGTGCACATTTTGTAAAAAAAAATAAAGTAAACATGAAGAAAAAAAGGACCATGATCAATTTTTTGAGTCATTAAATTCTTGCTGGCAAAAATGTTTATTGAAGAAATACTTTTTTTTTTTAAAGTATTTCTTATAAATACTTTTATCTTAACACAGTTCGGTTCTTGGCAGAGATTGGTCCTGAAGTGAATTTTAGTCAGGCTGTGTTAATTTAAAAAAACTTGTGGAATTGCTTTCACATTACAGACTTTTATTAATACTCTATGCATCAGCATCTTCTTATGACAAAAAACATCCTTTCCAACAACTTTAAATTCCATAATTAGGTATTCCTCAGGGGAAAACATTCTGTGCAAATTTTGTTACTTCAGTTAACTCTCCCTGACAGTGTACACAAATACAACATGTCCCTGAACAGTATTTATTACAAGAACCAATTAGGAATTATTTTGCATTCAAATTCAAATACATTAATGGACAAATGCTGTACCCTCCAAAGTTTGACAGCCAGGTAAGCTGGCTTGTGCAATCTTCTTTTTGTCTTTAACTTATATATTTCATAGCTTCCATGTTCAGAAGTTTATTAACTTGTCTGGACCTGAATTCACAAGCAAATCCCAAGCATATCTGTAACATTACTGAACTCAGTGCAAAGGGAACACAGTGTAAGTATTCCAAAGTTGCCTTCCCCACCAAGCTCCCATGCAGTAGGCTCAAAGTTAACAGGAACTAATTAGCTGAGCAAAACCTCAGCTGTGGCTCCGTGGAGCAACCTGATGCCTCTACACTGTATTCTGCAGAGCCTCTCCAGGCTTTCAAAACGACATGCTGAGAATGCATTGAGCAAGTTCAGCTTTGGACCACACGCTGCCTGTTTACTGGGTTCAGCTTCATGCCTTTAAAAGCTGACTCTGAAGAAGTCTGAGAGGGCACACAGTTCTGTGTCTAAGCTAGTCCAAATGAACCTAAATGTGTCCATCTGTGCTGTGTCACAAAAGAAGTTATGCATTTCAAAAGCAGCAATACATTTGTGATTTAGCACCAAGTTAGATTTTATTTAAGTAATTACAACAAAATTATTTTGCATCACACAAATATACACAACATATTAAGCACTGCAGATATAATAAATGAAATTGTAATTAAAAACTAAATAAGAATCAATATTTATTCTGCTCTTGAAATAATAGTACATTAATCAGTGTCACTGTAAGACAAATGCATATACAAATACACAAAGAAAAGTATTCCATAATTACATATTCACAAACTGATAGGACTCCTGCTCTCCATCATACTGAGGAATAATTATTATTTTAAGAGAATATATCATACCCCAAATAAGTGTCAGTGATATTTACAGACAATTTCTTTCCAGACTTCACTTTACAGTATAAATCACTACAGTTTCCTTGTTCAAGAGTAGATAGAACAATAGGTTGGAATTTTAGATTTGATGATCGCCACAGTTGCCTGTTGAAGAAAACAAAACAAATTTAAACAAAAGGGCCACTAGCACTACATATGACAGTACTCATATAGTCTCTATAAACGGCATAATTCACAACTTTTATTTAGTTATCTTTGCTATTATCAAACAGTAGAAAGCTAAAAAGTTAGCAATTGCTAACTGTCAAAAGGGCTGAAAATAATGAACTGAGAAAACGCAGTGTTGTGATAACTAATGCTGGGGAGTAAACATCCAATATAAGGGGCATGTAAACACACACCTAAAAGGGGAACAATTATACACATGAAATAATAAGGATTTTTATCTAGAGGAATTATGTTCTGGAAGGGATTTCCAACAAAAGTAAGAATCATATGCTTTATAACTAATTTAGAAAATAAATTTGGTAAATTAATTGGTTGGATTATATATTGCTTGTAACCACAAGTTAGTAGTTTGTTTCCAGATTTTTTTGCTCTATCTTATTACAGTATTTTTAAAAGATATATAGAAAACCGACTCACAAAACAGGTAGGACTACAAGAAATCAGGGAACTAACAGAAGAATTAGAGGCTAATGACTCACTTGATTAATTATAATATCTAGACCTAAATTTTCAGAATATTAAGACAAGCTGTAATTTCCTTTTCTTGTCTCACTTCATACAAATAAAGAACTCTCATCCTCCATTTTTTGTGATGTTTTTCAAGTCTGTAATACAAACACTGCTACTGCTCTTAAATGAACATGAGCACACACAGAAACGAAGAGGCAACTACTGATTATTTGGGCACCTGCTGGCTAAGGCACACAAGCTCAGTACTGCCAGGCCTGCCTGTATGCTCCCTACTCCTCAGGTTATTCCTATTTTTTATGAATAACCATTTAATATAACACATACAACTGTGCGTAGGGTCAAGAAAGCAAACATTTTCTCTTCTAGATGAACATCTAAGTCAGTACTCCTCATTTTTTCTCCTTTTCTCCTTTGTGCACAATGTACAGCGCAACATTTGTCAAAAGAATGTTCAACCTCTGCCATCTATTACTTAAAGCATCTTCTTTGATTTATAGCCATTGCAGATCCAAATTCTGGGTTAACCAGGTTGGGCTGGAATGTGAGTCAGATTCCCTCAGGAAATAGCATAAACAATAAACTATTAGTGGAACAGGCAGGCATCATCAATAACAGCAAAAAGTAACTTTTTGCAAGAGTAAATCTTGTTGAGAAACATATTTAGTCCCAGAAAATGGAAGACCAAGCATGTATCCCAGCCATACTGAAGCAAGTACATGGCAACAAAACCAGAGATGAAAGCTGTTCTGACAAAATTGTATTCAAAAGTGTAGATTACAGAATAAATATCTGATCAACTCACCTTTCCACCACAGTGCTCCAACTTTTGTAAAGCAACAGTAACTTCTTCTCTATATTTCTTGTCCATTAATCTCTTTAAAAGCTATTGGAAAAGTAAAACAAAAAGGTTTGTTGCACAATATAGTACAATATAAGCAAAGAAGCAATAATAACCTATTTTGTTACTTTATTCCATCTTACCTTTGCAAAATTAAAGCCACAAAGAAACATAACTTTATAACTTGTAACTGATGTCAAAGTATGGAACACAATAAAAGCAAATGGAATAAAAAGTTAACTAAAGAGAAACTTAAATTCAAAGAAAACTGATCTGCTAATCCACAAAAATATTTCTTTTTCTTTTACTAAACAAATTTGAAAGAAATATCCACCTTAAAAAAAAAAGTCATTCTTAAAGAGTTGTCCACATGAAAAGTTAACTTTTTTTCCATGTGCCTTGAAAGAGATTTATTGTAGTAGAAACACTTTAAAAAAAAAACCCTGCTGTAATTTCTCTCTTCTGTATTGATTGTCAAAAAAGGTCCTTTTATTTTGCTGTAAAAGTGTACTTTGCAAGCAGGTTAAAAACCATGAAAAGCCTGTCTGACAGAGGAAGAATGTCCTCAGAATGACTTGGTATAAAAATAATTCTCATAATCCCAATCAAAGCTTATTTAATGATAACTTCCTTGTGCAGAATCCCCATCTGAAAAGAATGGGAATATTTGCTTCTGTTAATGTATTGAAACATTCATAGTTTTGCTAAGACATTCAGACTTAAAATTAAAA